AGAGTCTCTAAACTGCAGTTAATGATAAATCGATTATTGATTTGGTTGATGACTATTTAATTAATCTAATTAATCATGATGTTTCAGTCGTTGTCACGAAAAATGATTATTTTAATTAATCAGAAAAAAACAATCGTTTTATTTCCCTTTCTTTATTTCAAAGGGAAACATTTAAACTGTAACAATAACATTAAATCGTCATTCAATGTGCTTCAGTTAATAACATTGTTTTGACTAATTTTATAATATTATCAATATAAAAAAAAAGTGTGAAATACGTTTAACTTTGGAGCTACGATGGGGCGATCGGTGTAAAAGCAGAACAAACCTCTGAAGGTCATTTTACTGCATGAAATCAGTTCAGCAGAACTTCTCTGTGTGCCTGCAGTTGATCCTGTGAGGTGTTAAGAAACGTTCAGACCTCCAGTTAAACGCTGCTCTTCCTTCCACAGGATCTTCTGGTGACTGTCTTTGAGAATGGCAGCCTGGTGCAGGACTACTCTCTGGAGGAGATCAGGAAGAACGCTTTGCTTCGGGATGAGGAGCTCATTCCAAACCTGAACCACCATGAACACGAGCTGCTGCACAACCACATCAACGGCAGCATTCATTAGAGTGCCGGCGCCATCGATGGGCGCCACGGTACTCTATGCACCACGCTGCGTCGGGTCATTCAGAAATCACAGATGATATCATGACGTGTTGATTATTTCCTGCCAAGAACCACAAACGACCCACTGCTGCAACCTTCACGTCTGAGAGCCAAACCCCCCCTCCATGTACACCCGCTTCCCTCACAGCCATAAAGTTCGGCCATGTTTCCGCCGCAGCGTGAAGCTCAGGTTAAATATGAGTTAAAGTTCTTCTTTCCCTGATGGACGCCAGGAAAAGCTGATGTTTGCCATCACTGTGACGCTGACGCTCCAGGAAGGATTATTACAGTTTGAGGGCTCCCCCTAGAGGAAGCTAGAGTAATTGCAGAAGCATGACATGCAAAATTTTAATGCATAAAAAACCCGTTTTAAGATATTTTTAAAGTGTTGATATTAACGTTGAATTCTGTTGCACTGTAAAATAAACAGGTCAACTTCAAATATTTTAAAGGTGGTAGTTTTGTGGTTTAAAAGGTTGGGCTTTCTTTAATATCAATATGTAATTTATTCCAGTTGATTTTTCTTCATTCATTCGCTGAAAAGTTTAGTTTGGGAAGAAGGAAGATGGAAAAAAAACCAAAACCAAGCCAGAAAACGTGGGAACCACTGATTCAGAGGAACCTGGAGGACCGTCAGCTTTAGTCGGATGTGGTTTAGAGCAGGAAGAAGCTAAATAAAATAAAAAGTGTTTGACCAACCGGTGCTCTAAAAGTTTCCACGTGGAACTATAAAACAAAAAGCTCTCCGGTCTAAAATCCAAACCTGGAAATTGCTGCTCATTTACCGAACAATTCCTGATCTTCAGTCGTTTTCCGTCCTAAAGCAGAGTGAGGAGCTCTGGGTTGTTCAAAGGTTGTTTTTTTAATTTGAGGAAACTAAAGTGGATTAATGCAGACAAACTGTCTAATACAGTTCAATTACATACCTCTTATTTTTAGTGTATATTTATTTACCAATACGTAAATATATCTTGATATAAAATAGAAACAATGCTTTCTTCCCCATTCTGTTTGTTGTTTTCTGTAACATCTGTCTAACAAACCAGTGAAGACTCAGATTGTCAAGACTGGTTGAAGTGGAACCAGTTTGTCGCTTCATTCCGTGTCTTTAAATAGTTTAAATGACTTTTATATCATTTAATGTCTGATTTTAGCATTTTGTTTGGATCCTTAACTTGAAAATCATCAAAATTACTTCTGTTTTTGTTTGTTTTTAACTTGTTTGTTGTTTATTTTTATTTGAGCTTATTTGTTTCATAGGATTAAACTTGAAAAGATGCATTTAATATTAAATTGTCATTTCTGAGTGAAATCTTTGCTTTATTGTGCAGTTAAACTCCAACAGCTGAGCTTTTTATATAAACTGAGCTCATTTTTTTCAAATGAACCATGAAGCTGTTGTCATGACAGTTCATTTCCAAACCCTATTGCTCAACAGAGATG